TTTTTTTAATTTTGACTAAATTCACATTATTGCAGGGTCTCTCACCTTGCCATCCTTGTCCTTCTTCCTTACTGGAACATGCCAGTCTTGAACTCTCCTTAGCAGGTCTTTAAACAGTTCCCCATGTTAAATGATAACAGCTCCTCCCAATTAACATGCCCTAGGTCCTGCCTAATACTGACGTAATTTGCCCTCCCCCAATTTAGTACCTTCTCGCAGTTCTGACTTATCCTTGTTCATAACTATCTTGAAACTTAAGGAATTGTGATCACTGTTTCCAAAATCCTCTCCCACTAAAAGGTTGGTCACCTAGCCAGGCTCATCAGCCAATACAAGGTTCAGTATGGTCCTCCTCAAGATGGACTATCCACATTGTTTCAAGAAACCCTCTTGGATGCACTCGAGTTTTGCCCCATCTAAGTGTCTTGCTATAAGGGGGCTCCAGTCAACCACTATGACAACTATTTTTATTGCATTTTTCTGTAATCTGCCTATATATTGAGGAACAAATATCTCGGTGGCTGTTGGGGTGCCTACAGGATTATACTATCAATCAGAGTGATTGCACGCATCTTATTTTTGGACTCTACCCATATTGCCTCAGTGGATGAGGCCTCCAACATGTCTTCTGAGTGCAAGAGTAATATTCTCCCTAATTAGTAATGCAAATCCTCCACCTCTTTTCCCTTCCTCTCTATCTTGTCTAAAACAATGAAACCCTGGAACATTGAGTAGCCAGTCCTGTCTCCTGTCCCCCTCTCAACCAAGTCTTTGTAATGGCCACAATGTAATAGGCCATCAAAATGAATACCAAAAAAAAGATGGCCCAGCAAACCACTTAGCTCAGGTGCAGTTTGGGATAGACAACAAATGTTGACCTTGTGAACATCCACGTAAAATGAAATAATGAAAGAAAAAAAAAGTAAGTAGCAAGACTCACTAGGAAAGTTCACACATGAAAATTTTGACCACGGCCACTGGTGTGCATAGAGAAGTCAAAGAAAATAGCCATCTGATGTGCAAACATTTGATAATGTTATAAAGGCTCAAAATGAAATTACAGAATCTGAGGAGTGACAATGTCCAGCTAGTATCCAATGTCATATTTTGCTGAGATCGTGTAACATGACTTAATTCTAATTATTCTGAATTAATTTGGTGGAATAGAAAATTGCAGATTCATGGAAGATTCATGGTTTTTTGAAGAGAAATTGTATGAAAGTGTGCCTGCCCATCTAAATCCAATCAAGAATCTACACTTGACGCTTCTCAAAAGCATTTCAGTACATTTCTACCGAAAACATCTAGTTTCAAAACTAAAAATTATACTGCCTAGATTATTTAAAAACTGCAAACACCCCACATTCAAAAATATTTCTCTCGAGAGAAATTCCTGCTGCAGCTACAGTTGGTGCCTGACACTGCAAATAGAGTTTAAATGCAAGGACCATTGGCAACTGGATGTTACAGATTCATCAACACAAATTAATTAGCAATTTCCTATTCAAGAATTGTTCTTGCATCAGATAGTGTACTTCAAGTGCATAAATATAAATGATATTAAATACCCTCAACATCACAATGGATATGTCAGCTTTACAGTCTCACTGAAAGAAAAAGTTAGATTTTGGATCCTGCTTGCGCACCAAATAATTGGGAGCTTTTCCATACCTCATTTTCAAAAGACTCTTCGGTTAACAAAAGGTATTCGAATAAGTAAATTATTCTGGATTTTTGAGTTTTGAACCAATTGTTATATGGGTTATATGCGCCTCTGAAGGGTTTTAATGATTAACTAAGTAGTATTAAATCACCATGGCTGAAGCATCTTAAAACACAGTACCAGAGAGACTTCTTGCAAAGCAATGGTGACTTGTTTACTTTGGGAGAATTTCAGTGCGCAATATAGTGCAGTGCATTAAGCTTTCAGCTAGACGATTCGGCAATTTATTTTGCTTGGGGTAAAATGCTTTTTAGTTTCATCTGGATCATTTGTAGATAGCTGAAGGTGGACATTAAAATTGCTCCTGAGGAAGGGAGGTTGTTTTAGAATGATTAAGAGAAACGTCACCTCAGTGCAGGGAAACGTAACTTTTAACTTGCATTCCAGAGTTGCATGGCTAAAACCCGGGAGTTTTATGCGAAGCTCAGTTGTGTGAAGGCTCCATTTTGAAAACCTGAGCTTTTTCCTGGAATTTAAGATAGTTAAATTAAGCCCTATCGATGTAGAAGCTAATTGTCTCTGATGTGAGTAATGGAGAGGAGTCTTGTTAGGATTGATGAGATTGGAAAATATAAATGTTTTTTCAACATTAAACTTGTGTTACATCAAAAGTTTTACCTTAATTTCTTGTTAAACCCAAATTTGCATTGTGTTTGTACTTCAGTAAAAGACCACTTCATTACCTTTAAAGCCAGATTTCAATCAGGGATCCAACATTTTCAGGAATAAAATCAGCTGGGATCATAAATCAAGGAGCTCCATTTAGTTTAATACATGACTACTTTGCCATCCCAAGGAAAATTCAGACAGGTGTTTAGAGTTCATCAATATATTTCAAAACAATACAAGTCAATGTAAGCAATAACCAAATCAAAACAAAGACATCACAACTAAACAGTAAAGTGGTGGCTTCCATAGTTCAAGGCCCAGGCAGTGAATGGGAGGCTTCAAGGTAACAAAAAGTTGCATCTTGTTCTCCTATCGCAATCACAGTTGTTACCTGCCACAAATGCGCACACTAAAACATTAGAATAGACATGATGAGAATACATAAATCTCTCCTGGTCAGTTAACTTGTCCTAAGTTTCAGAGTCAGATGACTGTCGGCTTTAGCACCAGTTCCTTGTTCACAATCCAAAATGTCATTCCATGGCTATGGAACTGTTGTTGCATTTCAGATAATGATTTTACCTACAATTTTGTCAGTATGTTCTGGCAATCAAACTAGTCTCTATTCAAGGGGCAGAAGCACAGAATTATTATGTAGTCAATTGGCCCTTGTGCCTGCACTGGTTCATCTTGTGCCAGTCTTCTGCCTTTTCCTCATATCCCTAAACATCATTTCTATCCAGCACATTTTTAGGCACTATTCTCCATCCCCTAGCTATTTGCTTTGTGAAAAAGAAATTCTCACATACTCTTGCTTCATCAGCACTTACAATCTTTACTCTCAATCTTTTCTTTTGAACAAACAGTTTCTCCCCGTCTACCCTGTCCAGCCAGACAGAAAACCTCTTATCAAATCCCCTCTCAGCCAAGGAAAACAGTCCCAACTTTTTCTGATGTTTCTCATTCTTGGATCATTCTAAATTGCTTCTGCATTCTTCCTAATGGTTTCACCAACATTATTTGTTCATCCAGCATTTCAAGGAAAAAAAATCCACTATTCACAAAATGGTCTCTTTTAAAAAGGAGAATATTCAACTGTATTTTCAGTGACTGCATATGAAGATTTGAGAAACGCAATAAGGCTCCAAACAAAAACATTTGGTGATTTATTCCTTACCTACTGCAAACATGGTCTATAAGTAGAGACATCGAGTCCAGGTTGCCATCTAGTTTAGTATTGTGATACAGGCACCGATCCCTTTGCAGTTCCACTGCTTGGCGCAGTAGTGTCTGTAAGCGTCGTGGAGGTAGCATCACTGATGGGGGTAGGTACACTAGCAAAATAAGTCAAAATAAACAATTTCACAAAAAAATCCATTTGATCTGTTCAAACATCAGCCGATGCTGTTGTACAACTAATTTTATATGTCTGGATTTTTTTTTGTCATTCATAGGATGTGGGCACCACTGGCTAGGCCAGAATTTATTGCCCATACACAAGTGCTCAGAAGGCAATTAAGAGTCCACCACATCGCTGTGGGTCTGGAGTCACATGTACAGATAAGGACAGATAAGGATTGCAGTTTCCTTCCCTAAAGGACGTTGTCCAAAAAAACCCATCTGGTTCACCAATCAACAATGGATTCATGGTAACCATTCCACTTAATTCCAGATTTTTAAGTACAGAACAACTGGAAGCAGTACAAGACAATTCATGCCCTTCCAGCATCCTTTGCCATTCAATACAATCATTGGGATGCCTACATGACGACAATGCTGGGAACCATGCATTCTCAATAAGTGCGCATGCATAGGCACCTGCAGCTGCCAGCATCAGCGAACACTGGCCTATATGATCAATAATTTCCTTGCTTATTTTGTATCCCCCCCTTCTCTTACAATCTTCGTTTCTACAATGTTTTAGTTAGCAGCAACTACTATCCCCTGAAACATTGGCCACTGCTTTTCAACTGTCCTACCTTTTAGATTTCCTGCCCATCCACGAGAGCCAGATTTGTCTTCATGCCAACGTAACAACTTTGTTTAACTCCAAAACCCAAGCGTGGGACCCTAGTTTCTAAAACCGAACCTAGTTCCTGCAAATTGAAGTTGAAGTTCGAGCATGCTTGGTCACCCTTCCCTCAAGGATTGTTTTTCCTACCACGAAATGGATTATTTAATCCCACCTCATTCCACAATACCAAGTCCAGAATAGCCTGCTCTCTGGTTGGATTCTCAACATATTTCTCCGAAAAACAAATCACAAATACATTCAATGAATTTTCCTCTCGAGGCTATTGTTGCCAATTTGATGAATCCAGTCTACATTTATATTAAAATCACCCATGATTATTGCTGTTTCTTTCTGACAAGGTCCTGCATTTCCTGGCCTATACTGCATCCAACTGCAGGTCTACGTAGAGATTGGTAAAATTGAGGGACATGGATAAGGTGAAGGGACAAGGTCTTTTTCTCAGGGTAGGGGAGTCCAAAACTAGAGGGCATAGGTTTAAGGTGAGAGGGGAAATATTTGAAAGGGACGTAAGGAGCAACTTTTTCCACAGAGTGTGGTGCATGTACGCAGTGAGCTGCCATAGGAAGTGGTGGAGACTGGTGTAATTACAACATTTAAAAGGCATCTGGATGGGTACATGAATAGAAAGGGTTTAAGAGGGATATGGGCCAAATGCTGGTGGAGGGGACTGGATTAATTTAGAATTCTGGTCAGCAGAGCCAAGTTGAAATGAAGGGTCTGTTTTGTGCTGTACAATTCTATGACTCTACTGTTTGAGAAATTGTAGATTGCAACCATCAGGGTCTTCTTTCCTTTGCTATAGCTTATTTCTACCCAGGCTGATTTTATGTCGAGACCTTCAGTACTGATATCATTTCTCATTACAATACCGATCTCTTCCTTTACTAACATAACTACACCTATTTTCCTTACTTCCTGCCTGCCTATCCTTCCATAAGGCCATAAGGAATAGGTACGGGGTAGGCCATTCACCCCTTCAAGACTGCTGCACCACTGAATAGAATCATGGCTGATCAGACATTCCTCACAGCCATCTTCCTGCCTTTTCACAGGAACCCTTGATTTCTCCTACTGATCAAGAATCTCTCAGCCTTAAATATACACAAGGACTTTGCCCCACAGTTCTGTGGGCAAGGGGCTCCAAAGACAACTGAGAAGAGATTCCTCATTTCAGTCTTAAATTGGCATCCCTTTATTCAGGGATTACGCCCTCTGATTCTAGACTTGATCACATTTAACTTTTGCTCATTAGACAATCCCTCCATACCTGCGATCCTCCTAGAGAACCTCCTCTGAAATGCCTCCAATGCAATAATTCCTTAAATAAAAGGGACCACTCCCAGTAATCTTTAGTTCTCTTCCAAAACGAACTTCACATTTTCCCACCTGATGCTCTGTAAACCGCGTATCCTTCTCACAACTTGCCTATCCACCTATTTTCCCGTCATTTGAGAGTGTGACTGCAGTATACTCACTTCCTTCTTCCAAGTCATTAATATATACATTGTAAATAGTTGCAATGCCAATACTGATCCCTGTGGAACGTCATTGGTTACAGGTTGCCAACCTGAAAAAGACCCTCTTAATCCCACCTGGTGATTCCCACTACTGGTGACAATGTTCTATGAATTCTGGCCACTTCTCCTCACACCAACCTTTGTGCCACACTTTAATCTTACTATGTACCATTAGCTCTTGCCTCAGGTAATCCAGAGATTACCACCTTTTTGGTTCTGTTTTTACATTTAGCTCTAAAAACCACCCATATTGCCTTAGCAGAACCTCTTTCTGCCTACATCGTTAGTAGCTAGGTGGACCTTAACAACAGGGTGCTTCCTAACCAAGTTCCTCTGCAGCTCAATTGTCACCAGGCAGGCAACACAGCCTTCAGAACTCTGGATCCTGACCAGAGAACAGCATCCACTCACTGACAGTACAACACCCTATTACAACCATATTTTTCTCTTTTCTCCTCCTCCTTCAATGGTTTCCTGCACCACAGTGCTATGCTCATCTTCCCTACAGTCACACCTCTTACCTGGAGAGCAAGAATGTCAAACTTGCTGAGTTTCCTGTCATACTACCTCCTGGATCCTTCTAACTGCATCGATCACAACTTCCGTCCCTGTCCACTGACTGAATTTAAGGTAGTTGATCCGAGTGCGACTGTCTCCTAAATACAGCATCCATGTAACTCTGCCCATACCTGTTGTGTTACTGTATTCAAAGGTCAAACTCCAGCTCATCAATTCTGAGCCAGAGTTAATCAAGCAACCAACACTTGCTACAGATGTAGTCTCGATGAACCACAATGGGGTCCACCAACTCCCACAACTTGCAGGTTCAACACGTTACCTGGCCCACATCACCGCTATATTTACTTAAGTTTTTAAATTTTCCATTAGTTGTCTTTTTTTAATCTGTAAACTATTTATTCTGTGTACATTTTATCTGAAAGCAATTTATAATATTCAGATTATCAGCTATTACCAACAAATGAATTTACGGTTTTCCTGTGATGTCACTGTTTTCTGCTGGGCCCCAATCTATCCTGTTTACAAACAATGAACCAAAAGTAGTAAAAAACACCTTTTCCCCTCTGCACCAAATTCCCCTGGGTCCTCCAAATTCCCAGAAACAGACATGCAGACTGTGCCTCACTCTGGATGTGCTCTCCTAGCTACTCATGCAAAGCATACTCTGATGTTGATCGGCAGAGAATAGTACTGAGCAAATCAGACTTGGTGTTGAAGCTTTTGATCTTAAACTTCAAATGGAGTTACAATTTATACTATATAAAAATTACATGTATTTTGAAGTGGGTTGTGCTTTGAGGAGAGGCAATGTGGGCACAAAAGCTTGGAGATACAGCGACAAGGAGGGCCCAGGAGTCTTCCCCTTTGTCCTTCTCCCACACTACCCCAGACACTTCCTGCTTCTTAATGCAGTTTCCCTCAGTCCTGATCTTCCCCACCCCCGTTTGGAGAAGCAACTAAAAAGTGCCACATTGCAAGCATGTTCTAGTATTGGCACATTCAGCCTTTTTAGTGCAGAGAACAAAGGTTTTGAACTCGCAGACATCTGATGACTTTAGCCTATCTTGTTCACAGTCAGAGGTTAAGAGAATTTGTTTTGATTAGAAGGTTGAGCAACTTTGGAACCCTGCCTCAGAAAGCAGTGGAATCAAGGTCATTGAATACTCTCAAGGCAGAAATAGAACAACTCCACCGTCTAACAAAGAACCCAAGTTTATTTGGGGGTATGCAGAAATGTGGAACCTGGAACACAAAGCCTAACCTTATTAAATGACAAAGTGGGGTGAATGGGCTGAATGGTCGACTACTGCAGCACACAGGCCCTATTCAAGGTGCAATTTGAAATAAAAGCACTTCCCATTCTTTGAAATTAAAATGGGCACAGGCCTGATCTATTCAGCATTGCCAGGCATATCAGGAGCATATCTGCAATGATTATAAATGAAATTTGTAAATTGACTGATCAACTGGCTTTCCTCATTGGCAGAATTTTTAAAGCATTGAAAAGTTACGTAATCATGCCCTAAGACAACTCTCCCACCAGAAAAAGTCAATTTGATTCACTTCATATAAATATCAAAAAATGAGTGAAGGCACTATAAACTGCAAAGGCTATGAACCCGGACAATAATAAAGCAACAGCTCTGAAGATGTGCATTCCAAAGCTTGCGGCTCCCGAAGCCAAGCTATTCCTAAACAGCTATAACACTAGCATTGGAAAATAGCCCAGGTATGCCCTGTACACACAAAGCAGGACAAATCCAACTCAGCCAATTTCTTGCCCCATCTGTCGACTCTTGATCATCAGTAAAGTGATGGAAGATGTCATCAACAGTACAATCAAGCAGCACCTGCTCAGCGACGCCCAGTTTGGGTTCCGCCAGGGCCACTCAGCTCCTGACCTCATTACAGCCTTGGTTCAAACATGCACAAAAGAGCTGAATTCCAGAGGTAAAGTGAGAGTACTGCCCTTGACATCAAGGCTGCATTTGACTGTGTGTGATATCAAGGAGCTCTAGCAAAAAAGTGTAGTGAATTGTAATCAGGGAAAAAAACTCTGCTGGTTGGAGTCATACTGGCACATAGGGAGATGGCCCTGGTTGCTACAGGTCACTGACCTCAGCCCTATGACATTTGCAGAGTTCGCCAGGGTAGTGTCCTAGGACCAAACATCTTGAGCTGCTTCAAACAACTTTCCCTCCATCATAAGGTCAGAAATGGAGACACTCATTGTTCAACCAATGTTCATGCACCATTTGCAACTTCTCAGATATTGAAGTAGTCCATGCTGAAAGTCAGCAAAACTTGGACAATATCCAGATTTGGCCTGACAAGTAGCAAGTAGCATTCGTGCCACAAAAGTCAAGCAATGAACATCAAGAGAATCAAACCATTGTCCCTTGACATTCAGTGGCATTACCATCGCTGAATCCCACACTATCATCCTGGGGGTTACAACTGTTCAGAAACTTAACAGGGCTCCATTTCCTTTGAAACGAAGTCCAACATTCCAGTTCCATTCACTATTATCCCCTAAAACTTGGATGCTAGCATTTTTGTGGTTCATACACTAGGGCCCCCAAATCATCTGTCTTTCCCTATTTAAATAATATGTAGGTTCCTCTATTCCTCTTACTCAAATGAGTAACATCACATTTTCTCATATCATATTGCATCTGCCAGGTTCAGGAGACTTGCAGTAACACTTTCTGCTCCCAAAGCCATAAGATTAGTCTCCTGCTCCTATGTGGTCCATCAAGTCAGCTCCACCATTAAATGAGATAGTGGCTGATCTATAATCCTAAAGTCCACTTTCTTACCTTATTCCCATAACCTTCATACTGTGATTTTATGCTTAAAAAGTCAGTATCACAGTTTGAATATACTTAACTGTCCAGGCTCACTGGCCTCTGCAGTAAAGAATTCCACAGATTTGACTATCTCTTCCAAGAAGAAAGCATCTCACCTTAAATCCTAAAAGGGCGAGACTTAACTCTGCTTGCACTTGCTTATTCTGGTCTCTCCCACAAAGGGCAAAGACCGTCAATAAGTACAAGCCCAATCTACTCAATCTCTCTTCATGCAAGAATCCCTCTACACCCAGAATCAAACAACTTTCTCTGGACTGCCTTATCTATGTTTTCATAACTAGGTACCAAAACTGTTCATAGCATTCCAGGTATGATCTGACTGGTGCCTTGTATAGTTTTAGCAAGACATCCTTATTGTTATAATCCATTCCCTTTAAAATAAAGGATAACATCCATTTTAGTTTCTACTACCTGATGAACCGGAATGCTCAGGTAGCCTGTCCAAGGCACAAATCAGGTGTGACGAAATGCACTCATCCAGGCAAGTGGAGTGTAACTCCAACAACACTCAAGAAACTTGACACTATTCAAGATAGATCAGCCCACTTGATTAACACCACATTCATAAACATTCACTCCCTCCAACACCAACATTCAGCATCAGAGTATACCATTTACAATATGGACCGCAGAAACTCACCAATGCTCCTTAGACAGCACTTCCAAACCCATGAATAACATCTTAAATAAGGGCAACAGGTACATTAGAATGCCATCTCCAAGTTGCTCTCCAAGGCACTAACGATACTTAGTTGGAAATATATCCTTGCTCCTTCGGTGTCGCTGAGTCGAAATCCTGAAGCTCCCTTTCGAACAGCATTGTGGGTGTGCCTATACCAAATGAACTGCAGTGGTTCAAACTCACCACCACCTTCTCAAACGCAACAAGGGATAGGCAATAAATGCTAGTCCAGCCAGTAAAGCCCATAACCACGAATAAAAATCCGGTCACATTACCTTTAATTGTTTGTATGGTTGCAATGATGACATCACGTGGCTGCAATGTCCAAGTAATCCATAGCACAATCTACTAGAATATCAATATCTCACAGCACAGTGAGCTAAGCAGTCAATTAACACAATGCCATTATAGTTATTATTTTGTAGCCACTGTTCAAACCTAAACCTAATTTATCTAATAATCTAGAATTTATCAATTTGTTTCAACATTGTTCTATTGCTTTCATGAAAAGAATCACTTACTCTGAAGTTTGTCAAGTAATTTTGATCGTGAAGCAGTCCCTTTTCCTTCCCACTCTGCCTTTGCTCTCAGGTCATCTGTATGACTGCACATTAGATACCTGCAGAGATAAGACACAAAAATGAGGTTTTCAGCAGCCATACTGATAGGGTCAAATTTTCTTTGTGAATATGGATGATGAGAAGAACTAGAACAGAGGTAGCATAAAAAGAACTCTTTGGAAATTAAAATTAAATAAGTTCTGCTTTTGGTTTTGTTTTCTCTTTAGTTTGTAGCTTCTTGAGTCCTGTAGGCAAAGAGCCATGACTTAAATGAAATCTCAGAAGCATTTGAAATCATTCACAAGAGAACATTTGTCAATTTCAAACTGAGGCCAGGTATTGACCTGGTTAGGAAGTTGGTTTTGGGACAGGAAAATGTAGGGAAATAACAATCAGGAAACCTAACTGACAGGATGTGACTAACGGTAGCCACCAAGGATCAGTGTTGAGGTATCAATTATTTAGCCTATCTATCAATGCAAATGTTGAACTAGAACCATATTTTCACATTTTTGGATAACACAAAGATATTGCAAGCAACGTACATGGAAGAACAGAATTGCAAAGAGATATTGGTAGCTTAGGTAAATGCGCAAAATGTGGCAAATGGATTTCATGCAGGCAACTGAGAGAACACCTACTTTGGCCTTAAAGTGGCTAGTACAGCGTGAAGAGCTAGAAACAGTAGGGGCTCAAAAAAGGACCTATGAGTCCAGATACATACATTAAAATATCATGAGCAGTACTATGAATACAAAGTCTGTTCAAATATTATGGCGAAGGAAGCTGAAAGAGATGGAAGGATTTGGACAATTGCTACACTTAAATTAGGGACACCATGAAACTAAAAAGAGTTAAAGTTGGCATGTTGTTGTTCATCTACTAGTCATTAAAAGTCAAATGACTGTGTGGAAAGAATGTAAGCCACTAGGCTTTTGTGAGACAAGGAAGGAGTCATGTGGATTTAATCAATTTACAAGCTTCAAAAAGTTGGGGATTTGTCCTGACATTTGCCTAGCAACAGCCTTTGAACTACAGTTGCTGCTTCAGCACATATATTATAGGGGAAGCAATGGTCTAGCAGTATTATTTCTAGACTATTAATCCAGTGACTCAGTTTGGGTCCTGGGTTAGAATTTCACCAAAGCAGATGGTAGAATTTGAGTTGCATAAAAAGAATCTGGAATTAAGAATTCAATGACTATGAAACCATTGCTGTTTGTCAGAAAAGTTCATCTGGTTCACTAACGTCCTTCAGGGAAAGAAATCTGCCATTTCACCCGATTTGGCCTAAATCTGAAACCAGAATCACTGCAACATGGTTGAATCTCAAATGCCCTCAGAAATGGCCCAGCAAGTCACTCAGTCATATCTATTGTTACAAAGTGTTAACAAAGACAGATCGCCTGGCATCAATCTTGGTATCGAACAACAATATCAAAAATAGCCCTGTCAGCCCATTCAAAGTCCTCCTTACTAACATCCGGGGCCTTGTGCCAAAATTGAGAGAGCTGTTTCAAACTAGACAGGCTAAATTCCAACATTGTCTGCAAGATATGATTCCATGGGTATGACTATGTCCCAGACACTCCCATCTCTGATATGCCATGTCCCTCCAGCAATACAGACCCAGATGTGGCAGCTCAGTAGTATACAACTGACAGGGAGTTGCCCTGGGTGTCATCAACATTGACTCATGGCCCCTTGACATCTCATGGCACCAGGTTAAACACAGGCAGGCAAATTAGATTAACCCCGTGATAAAAAAATTAGTTGGAGACACTGGATACTACAAGAACTATGGGACTGACAACATTCCAGCAATAGTACTGAAGACTTGTGCTCTGAAACTTGTCACATGCCTAGCCAAGGTACTCCAGTTCAGTTACAACACTATCTACCTGACAATATGGAAAATTGCCCAGGTCTGTACACTAAGAGCAGGAAGAATCCAAGCCAGCCAATTACTACTGCAGTGTACACTTGAACATCAGTAAAGTGATGGAAGGTGTCTTCAGCAGTGCTATCAAGCAGCACCTCCTCAGCAATAACCTGTTCAGTGAAACTCAGTTTGGATTCTGCTAGGGCCACAACTCCTTACCTCATTACAGCCTTGATTCAAACAGAAAACAGCTGAATTAAGAGTGCATTAAACCAAGTGTGGCATCAAGGAGCTCTAGCAAAATGGGTATCAATGAGAATCAGGGGTCAAACACTCTGCCGGTTGGAGTCATACCTCGCACATAGGAAGATGGCAGTGATTGTTGAAGGTCAGTCATCTCTGGAGTTCCTCAGGGTAGCGTCCTAATCTCAACCATCTTGAGCTGCTTCAATGATCTTCCTCCTCCTTCATAAAGGTCAGAAGTGGGGATGTTTGCCAATAATTATACAAATGTTCAGCATGATTCATAATTCCTCAGATATTGAAGCAGTGTATCCAAAAGCAGCAAGACTTGGGACAGTATCCATTCTTGGGCTGAAAACAAGTAATTTGTGCCAATGACCACCTCTAATAAGGGAGGTGGAATCACCATTCCTTGACATTCCCTCACTGAATCTGTCACTATCAACATCCTGAGGATTACCATTCGGAAGAAAATCAACTGGATTCAGCCTATACAGTGGTTACAAGAGCAGGTCGGAGGCTGGGAATATTGCAAGTAACTAACCTCCTGACTCCCCAAAGCCTGTCCACCATCTACAAGGCACAAGTCAGGACTTTGATGGAGTACTCCCCACATGCTTAGATGGGTGCAGTTCCAACAACACAAGAAGCTTCATATCATCCAGGACAAAGCAGCCTGCTTGACTGGCACATTATCCATAAGCATCCACTCCCTCCACCACAGATGCTCAGAAGCAGTAGTATGTACTATAAGATTCAATACAGAAATTCACCAAAGATCATTAGTTAGCATCTTCCAATCCCACAACCACTTCTGTTTAGAAGGACAAAGGCAGCACGTATGTGGGAATATCACCACTTGCAATATCCCCTCCAAGCTACTCGCCATCCTGACTTGGAAATATATTTCTGTTCCTTCAGTGTCACTGGGTAAAAATCCCGGAATTCCGTCCCTAACAGCATTGTGGGTATTCCTGCAGCATCTGGGCTTCAGCAGTTCAAGGCAGCAGCTCACCAACACGTTCTCAAGGGCAAATTAGGGATGGGCAATAAATACTGCCAGCCAGCCATACCCACGTCCCACAACAGAATTTTTAAAAATCCTAGGTGTCAGTTAAAAGAAAAGAAACATTAAATTAGAACAAGCAGCACAGATCTCAAAATACCTCCTAGGTACAAGTAAAGTTCCAGAAATCAGGATTTTAAATACTTCAACTCTGAAAGCTCAACAGCTACTTGTATTCCAACTTATCAGACTGAATCTCAATACCCACAGGTTGGATTTAAGTATCTCCCATTGATACTATAGCTGCCAGCATGGAGGCTTTGACAACAGGAAATCAACCAGCCAATTAGAACTCCATTTTAATTCTTTGAATTCAGATGCTTGGCCCCACCAGAGCATTTTCCCTGTTGTCTATGATTAGCTTGAGGATTTGTAAAAGCCAACAGAAGATGGCCAGAAAAATTAGGTATATTAGAATGTAAAAAGATACACTACAATGCAATATAAAAACTAACAAACAGTTTCTTAATGTATATAAAAAGGAAGAGAGGCGGCTCCTTGGTGTAGGAAATAGCAAATAATAAAGCAGAACATTTAGAGGCTGAGGAAATATTAAGGGAACCAGGAAATGCAGCAGAGTTCAATAAATACTCTGTCTTCACAGTAGAGGACAGAAATAGCATTTTAAAGCCACTCACTAATGTACTGAACATAAGGATACTTAAGACAAGAGCCCATGGAACTGGTGCAGTATATTAGCATGGATAGAGGACTGGCTAACTAATACAAGATAGATTTGGGATAAGAAGGCATTTTCAAGATGATAACCTGTAACTAATGGAGCACCACAGGGTTCAGTGTTGGGACCACAATTACCTGCAATTCATATCAATGACTTGGCTGACAGAGTAAGTTGTACCATCAAGTTTGTAGATGACAGAAAAATAGGCAGAAGGGCAAGTAGCAAGGATAAAGAGAGTCTGTTAAGGTTTATAAAGCTCCATGGAGTAGACTAAAAGTTGGCAGATGGAATATACTGTGGGAAATTAAGAGGATGTGCACTTTGGCAGGAATAATATCTAGATGTTGAAAGACTACAGAAACCTGCAGGTCCCGAGAGATTTGGGGATCTTCAATCATAGATCACAAAAAAAATGCCACCCAACTTTTCTAATAGCGTTGGATAAGAGGGCAGGCATATTTCAAATGGAATAGAGAATAAAATTGGGGAGGTCTTGCTATAATTATATAAAGCACTAGTTAGACTATATTGTTGCCTTAAGGCATAGTGGCTTTGGAGTCAGCCCACAACAGTTTCAATGGGATGATTCTGGGTATGGAGGGACTTCCTATGAGATGAGATTTAGTAGATAGGCTTGTAATCCTTGGAGTCAAGTAGAATGAGAGATGATGCCACTGAAACATAAGAGATTCTTGGGGTCTTGACAGGATAGAAGGGGAGCGGATATTCCCCTTTTTTATGGGGGGGGCAGTGGTGGTGGTAGTCAGAACACAGGGCATAATCTCAGGATAAGAAGCCACCCATTTAAGACAGTGATAAAGCAGATATTGCACCGCCCCGCACCCCCTAAAGACAGTACTGATTCTGCAGGATCATTTACTGGAGAGACCATCGAGGCTTGGCTGTTAAGTATGTTGTTCAAAGCTGAGATAGGTTCTTTATAAAAATAAAAAAAAAAAAAAAAAGAGAATTCAGGGAAAAAGCGGGAAAGTGGAGCTAAGGATTATCAGATCTCAATCAATGGTGGAGCAGACCATTTACTTAATAGTCACTCATGGGATATGGGCATCACTAGCTGGGTCAGCATTTAATGCCCAATCCTTAAGAAGGTGGTGGTCCATGTGTTGCATATAGACGCATAATGCGGCTGGAGATATAATTCCAGGATTTTGACCCAGCAGTGAAGGAATGGCGACATACTCCCAAATTAGGAAGGTGAGTGGCTTGAAGGGAATTTGTTGGTCATAGGGTTCCCACGTCCTTGTCCTTCTAGATGGAAGCAATTGTAGGTTTAGAAGGCACTGTCTAAGGATCTATGATGAATTTCTCCATTTCATCTCGTAAATAGGAGCAACGACGCATGTCATATGTTGGCGGCAGACATAATGAATGTTCATAGATTTGGGGCCACTGCTTCGTCCTGGACAGTGTCAAGCTTGAGTGTTGTTGTTGCAGTCATCCATGCAAGTGGGGAGTATTCCATCACACTCCTGATGTGTGCTTGTAGATGGAAGACAGGCTTTGGGGATTCATGAGGCAGTTATTCACTGCAGTATTCTCAGCCTCTAAACTGCTCATAGTGACTGTATTTATATGGAGAATCCAGATGAGTTTCAGGTCAATGGTAACGCCCAGTATGTTGGCGGTCGGGCCCAATGGCCTTCTACTCCTACACCCTGTGGGTGTTTTTTTTTATATAAAAACTTAAACCTACATCATTTCTGCAGAATTGTACTGTCATCTCATGATTCTGAATGCTTGAGATTAATGGGACAGTTTCACTCCATACCAGCTTGTTTGGTAACCATATATCGTAAATCACGATACAATCGCAGATGAGGACATGTTCGAGGGAAACTTCCAACAATCCAAAGATGATCTCAGACTCCCAGGCAAGTTTAATAGGTCAAAGTCACCATTAAACACAAGAAGAATGTAAATACTTCAGGGCTAGATAGGATTCCAGTAGAGATTTCAAACTTGGGGAAGCACAGCTCACCCATCAGATCCATCGACTGTTGCTGAAAAACTCCACCATCGCCAATCTTCATAAAAGGAGACAAAGTGGACTGCAGAAACTACTGAGCAATCTCCCTTCTCTCCATTGCTAGGAAGGTCAAATGTCTGAATCCTCAGCAGCCACCCTCTGTCTCTAAAGAAACCCTTCCAGAAAGCCTCTGTGGTCCCCGATCAAACTGTGACACTATTTTCATTGCTCGACAACTCCACACAAGAAAAAACTGCAGGAACACCAACACTTTAAGACCAAGGATTTTAACTTAGTCGACTGGAAAGTGCTATTGAAACCCTGTCAACTTTTGGCTGCTAAGAGAAATTCGTCAACATTCTCCACCTCCGAAGTTTTTGGTGATAGTCCTCATCGATGGAAATGTGACAAAAACTTTGAGGCCATGACTGGAGTGAAGTAGGGATTCATCATCACCCTCACTACCTTTTCTCCATCAACACCATCTTTCATCTTGTCAAAATGAAGCTTCCCAAGGTTGCAGACATGGTCTACAAGATGAATGGAAAATTCTTCAACTTTAACCAGTGGAAATCCAAGAAAACAACACTTACATTGTTTGTGGAACTTCAGCAAGTGATTACAACACCATCTCTGCTCTCTTCTAAGAGAATTGTTAAGCCTTGCTTAACACCTTCATAGGAGTATACCAAAGAATTGGTCTCAGCCTTGATATCAAGATGATTCAAGTCCTTTGCCAACCCACGCCTGGGCAAGTTCCAGTTTATCCAGCCACTAAGAACAAAGAAATCCTCTCAAAAATGGAACAATTTTCCTACCTGAGGAGCCACATCTCATTTAAAGTTGACATCAATGCAGAGATCCAACACTGCATCCAATCTGCCAGTGCCAACTTCAGACACCCACAGATGAAAGTCTTCAATGTCCATGATAACGTGCTGGTACTAAGATCGTTGTATATAAGGCAGTCATCGTTCCAACTCTTCTATATGGCTCAAAAGCTTGGACTATGTATAGACACCATCTCAAGGCCCTGGAGAAGTATCAACAACACAGACAGGTTCTCCGCATCAGCTGGGAAGACAGGCATACTAATATCAGCATCCTTGAAGGAGCCAACAGCACCAGTATCAAGGCCCTGATTATTCAAATCCAACTTCATTGTGCTGGCCACGTGGTTAGAACACTCAAGTTCAAACTCCGAAAGCAAATCTTGACCCAGCTTGAGAAAGGCACTCAAATGAGAAGTTTTTGAAGCACCACCTGAAAGCTTACCTCAAGAAATACAACGATGATACCAATGCCTGGAACACTCCTGTTCAGAATAAACACACTTGGAGGAACCTCATTTCTGAAAGGACAATTCTTTGAGAATACCCATTGGTGATATGAGGTACAAAGGAGCCTGAGAAAGGATCTTTTCTTAGCGATCAAGTCCAAGGACTAATTCCACCTCCCAGAAACATCTGCCAACTGTGGTCGGAGATGCTGCTCTAGGATCAGACTCAGTAATCGCGTGAGGACCCACAGAACCCACAGAACCCATGACCAATGACAAGGAATTTCCCAAGTGGACAATCATACTTGTTAGCGAGTGATCACTGACAACGTTTGTAATGATGTTTGTGTTTAAGAAATTTGAGTTTATTGAACAAACCTGGTGATTATTACTGATCAGAATAAAAGAAATTAAGAGAAACAAAGTTAGTATTTTGGTGATTAAATAAAATATACACCTTTGGTATGCTTGATAACTATTGCACTCCTCCCAATGGGGTAATAACAGATTGAGATATTGTATCATGATTCTCTTTACTAACTCACTCACAAGCACTATGTTTACTATACCACGTTTCCAATCATTTATAAAACCGCGTTTTTGTAGTACATTTCACTCTTACAAGATAAACTAAATTAACATCCCTTCCTAGGCTGCCAACCCATTACCGTTTCTTTACACCTTTCAATTCTTATCAGCCCCATGCTGCAAGCAGTGTTTAGACTTGTTTCTGTATCAAAGGCTACCCCTGAATAAGTGTTAATACTGTAATCTACTCAGAACAATGCCATCCCCGCCATCGTGTCTCCATAACTCAATCAAAACTATGGAAAGATTACGATATTAATTAGCCCTTAATAACCATCTCTTGGGACCTGAAAAGTCCGCAGGACATCAGTTTCCTCCACCAACATGTACCTATTGTTTGCTGCTTTTTATCTCTGAATATTTCCTTATACACTACCTATTTCTAACTTTTACTTAGGACTACCATCTTGTACTAACGCACAGATTTATACCTTTTAAATGCATATTAAACAGGGCCGCTTCCTCTTTAAGAAACTCACTGTCAAAACAGCACTTCCATGAAGCTGCACGAACGAATGCATAAGAGCTATCACAAAGCGGCAACAGTAGATAAAATCTCATGACTCAGCTGTGGGAGATCAGTTTAATATCCTCTATACTTTTATTTAGTACATGTATAATTTCTCACTTATTTAGATCATATAGGTCTGGTGTTTTTATCAACATTACTAACTTTAAAGACAAAACTAACACCTCTTAATTATGCAAGCTCAGACCAGACAGACATTCTAATCCAATCAGGAGTAGCAGCCAGCATTCAGCAAGTGATTAAACTATCTCCTGTTTCCCGAGGAGAGATGTCATGCAAACTTGTTTACAATAGATACAACTATGTGACGCCAAAGTGCTAAAATTTTAATGTATGTAAAAATGGTGTATAAGGGAGGCTACTGAAAAACTGCACTTTGGATTCAATTGCCGCTGAACTATGCTAGTGTTGATGGTCAATAAAGAGGCTGTTTTCACCACTCACCAATCTCAGTCGTTATTGAGCATGATCCCACAAGGTGCAGAAAATAATGAGGTTTCTGCTTGTTATTCAGCAAGTCCATATGCAAAGTACATGGAAGTCAAGTCTTCCATATTTTCTCAGAAATACTGAGCTAGTCTCACCACCAAAAGAAAAACAGAGAATGGATAACACCCATTACAACCAACACAAGTCAGGCCATTTAGATGAAAGCATCAACTAAAAATAATTATTCAGCATACAGGGTTCTTCTTGTAGTGGTCCTACCTCTCACCCAGAAGTTCTGGGATCAAGTCACACCTGCCCAGCTAAATTAAAAATATCTAAAACAAGCATCATTTTCATCACTGAGGAATTTCAAAATCAGCAACACATCAGCCACACCATGTCTGTGAAGGTCATGAAAATGAGGCCAAAGATTAAGTCAAAAATCCAGAATTTTTAATTGCCTTTTAGAAATGATTGAGGTGCCCACCAATAACCATTATTTAGTAGACTGTCACAAATTTTATTAACAGCATTGTTATTTGCTCCAAGCAAAGATAAAGCAATGATTGTAGGGTTCCTCACAGTACTCAACAAGGTGTGAACTAATGCTAAAGTACCAAAAACAGCACAATTTGAGTTTTGAGCAACGTGATTTAACAGGAAAATGGTGGCCTAGGTTTATTATCTCTAGGCTATTCATTCAGACACGCAGGTAATGTTCTGGAGACTCTGGTTCGAATTCAAACGTTCGAACTTGAATTCAATTTAAAAAATCTGGAATTAAGAGTCTCATGATGACCACAAATCCATTGTTGATTATCAGAAAAACCCACCTAGTTCACAATGTCCCCTAGGGAGGGAAACTGCCACCCTTACCTGGTCTGACCTATATGTAACTCTTAACAATTAGGGATGGATAATAAACTTACATCCAGCCAGTGATGCTCACATCCAATGAATCAATAAAAAATGTTCGCAGCTATCAGGAATTGCTTTTCTCTTACCCGCTCAAGATGTGGATTCGCTCAGTGTTGTATTTCAGAGGAGTCAGTTCGCAGCGCAGGACCTGAAGAGCTTCCAGAACTTTGCCGTCTTCCAGATATTCCAGGTACTTCTGCTGCAGAAGCAAGAACTTCATCTTCTAAAGAAAAAGACATTTGGCATTAAGACCAAGAATATCACAACTAATCTGTAAATTTAGATTATATTGAGCTTTGATTTTCATGTTGAGTCATGGCAGAGTTAGATCATATAGCATTTCTCCAGTCTTCTATATCTAATTTTCAGAACTACATGGTTTAACAATTAAAGTCTCAGCCTTCTTCTGAGGACCACAGCATCACAGTTGCCAGATTTTACTTTAATTTCATACGAGTTCAAGAAGCAGCTGAACACAATGGATATCAAAGCCTATGGGATGGACCTCAAGAGTTTTGGTTCAAACATGGACAAAAGAGCTGAACTCCACAGGTTAAGAGAGGGCTACTGTCTTTGACCAAACGTGGCATAAAGGAGGAACCTTAAAACTATATGTGGGCTCCCATGAAAAATGCTGCAAAACCTGGATAGTTTCTTGGCTTGGATTGATGTCAGAGTCATACAGCATGAAATCAGACCCTTCGGTCCAACCAGTCCATGTCAATTGCATGACAAACTACACTAGTCCTAGCTTGGCCAAAAATTTCTTATTCACGTACTTATCCAAACATCTTTTAAACATTGTAACTGTACCAGCATCCATCATTTTCTCTGGAGGTTCATTCCACACATGAACCACTCTCAACACAACATGACATCCTAACTCCTTTACTCAACGCTCTGACCAATGAAGGCAAGTGTGCCAAATGCCTCCTTCTCCATCCGGTCTACCCGTGACACCACTTTCAAGGAACTATGCAGCTGCACTCCTTGGTCTCTCTGTTCTGTTCGACACTCCCTGCAACTCTACCATTAACTGTGCAAATGAGAGATGAGAGATACACAACAACGCAGAATCACTGAGCAGAAACTGACAGCCAACTAGTGTACCCATAAGGACAGCCTCAACCATGATCTCAGGTTCATGTTGCGCTACATGTAACCCCACCATACTGTCTGTGTTTGTAAAATCTTCTTTACGGTTCTGTTGACACTATCACCCTGATAACTTATGATCTCTCTACCTTAATTATTTTGTACAGTTTGGATTACTTGTTACTTTGGCTAGTCGCTCGCCGTGTGACTCATACCTATCATGTTATTCCAGCCATTTGGTTTGTCTCTAGCACCATCTTATTTTTGGATTTTTGTAATTATCTCTCTGCCTTCAATTAATCAGATCATAGTGTGGTGTGGAGGTGTTGGTGTTGGCTGGGGTGGACAAGGTCAAAAGTGATATAACTTAAAACAGAAGTTGCTGGAAAAGCTCGGCAGGTCTGGCAGCATCTGTGAAGGAAGAAACAGAGTAAACATTTCAAGTCTGGTGACCCTTCACCAGGTTATAGTCCAACAGGTTTATGTGAAATCACAAAGCTCTGGGAGTGCTGCCCCTTTGTCAAGTGAAGTGTCATTTGACTTTTGACCTGATTAAATCATAGGTCACCCCTTGACTTGCTATTCAGCTGTTGACACTTTATTCACCATTTGACACTTATGATCACCGCAAAGACTTGTTATCTAACCTGTCAACACTCAACTCACCATTTGTACGATCTTTTGACACTCTTAATTACCGGGAATGATCTTGCAATTATCTCTCCACCTATAAATTATGTGCCTGTGTGTTCCCCTCCACTTTACCTGATGAAAGAGCAGTGCTGAGAAAGCTTGAGATTTCAAATAAACCTGTTGGACTATAACCTGGCATCGTGTGACTCCTGACTTTGCCTGGATGAGTGCAGCTCCAATAACACAAGCAGCTTGAAACATCCATGATAAAGCAGCCCACCCAATTGGCACACCATACACTGCTGCCACTGGTGGTGGTGAAGGGAGTGAACCAACTACAAGATACACTGAAAAATTTCAAAGGCTACTCCAACAAAACCTTCCAACCTGAAACTAACATCTAAATGGATAAAGACACAAGTATGGGAACATTACTATCTGCACGCTCTTCTCCTAGTCATGCATCATTTTGACCTGGAACTGTGTTGTTCCTTCAGTGTCATGTCAAAATCCAGGAACTCCCTCCTTAACAGTATAGTTGACATCCCTGTGTGGCAAGAATTGCAGGGATTCAAGAGGACATCTCACCAGCACTATCAAGAGCAATTAAGGGTGGGCAATAAATAATGGCCTAGCCACTAACACCCAAATTTAATGGACGAGAAAAAGTTATTTAGCAAATTCCATGCTGCTTCATTCTTCATCCTTTTGTAAACTATCCTGATTTCGAACACTTACATTGTCTACAACATGTCAGAGTCAAAGTCCTGACATTTTCTACTCAAGATCACAATTGAAATAGGTCAAGAATCATCTACCATCTTTATACACAAAATATAAATACTTGCACTTTGTTTTCATAATTCAAATGGATTCATGTTTTATCTAAGTTTCACACATTTACCACAAAATTATACTGAAACCTAACTGAAAAGTCTGGTATATTTGGTGTGCTTTTATTTTCACCCTTCAGATGCTAATGGTTGATTGTCTAATGCAGATCTTGTCTAAATGGACAATTGGATGAATATGCTATTGTACGAGCATCCCAGAGGCATGGAGATCAAGAATCTGGACACAGTTCGGACCCACCGTTAAATTCACAAATCTGGAATAACCATGAAGCCTCTCACATTGTAATTAAAAACCCAATTAAGTAAGGAAAGCTAATACTGCTACCCAGCCTGGCTTTTATGTAACTAGGCTCTCAGCAATATGGTTGACTATTAACCAATGCCTGAAAGCCCTTATAAAACCATTTAGTTGCATCAAACCGCTACAAAGGGAACATGTTGAAATACTCAAGTTAATATAAAAGTTAATACAATAGCAACACTGCCTGATTAATCTAACAAATAAACATTCTAGACTAAGTTAGTGCAAGACGAACGTTCTTGGAAATGCCGACTACTGGATGCGATGCTAATTGCTTGATCTATGCTCTCAGACAGACTTTCTCATTGTTTTTTGTTTAAAATGTGGAGTGAAATGAGAATTATTTTAAAACCAGGGACTGGAAGGATTGCTGCATGATTTGAAAACAAGTAACTGGATACACGTTGTGAACACTGTTTGTACAGCTGGGGATTACAGCTAGTGGTTGCAGACAAACTAGAGCCGAAGGGTTGCGTACAAATGCAATCTTGGTTGGCAACAAGCAATGCACTTGTTTGTAGATTAATGTTTGGTTCTCAGGGAGGTAGCTGAACAGCACAGAATTGTGAAGACAGAGAAGCTTTCAGACTGACTTATTTAGGAGCTCTTTCTCTGTTCTCTGCAGCAAGCCATTTCAGGCCTGAAAAAATATTTTCCCTTCAACAGTTACTGTAAGATGAGACTTTTAACTGCTAAGTCAGATATATTTTTAATAAGTGAATCAGCCACCCCATGCCTCTGGGAAAAATGGAAGCATCTGGAGAAGGATGATTGAGTAGTGTTCTTACCAGCATTAAAAATAGTATCATTAGATCCTGTAAAACATGATCACTGCTTTCTCAGTGTTCTCACTGTCCATCACACCCATTATTTCCCCCTTGCCCATTTCCAAACATGTTCGTAGGTGTATGTGTCTGCCTTGTAGAGGGTATTTATACGGTGTGCGTGTGCGTGCGTGTTGCAACTCCCCCATTTAAAACATAAAGGAGACAGTCTTTGAATATTTATAAGTCAGAGGTGCATAGATTCTTGAGAAGCAGAAGGGGGAAAGGTTATCTGGGTGGTTGGGAATGTGAATTTTGAGACTCCAATCAGATCACATGATTGTGCTGAATGGTGGATCAGGTTCAAGGGTCCAAGAGGCTTTACCCAGTCTTTAACTCATGTTCAAAAATGCCTCAAAAGTTTCAGCAATAGATTAAACAAGTAACTTCACGTGGCTGCCATTCAATAGCTAGGCCAGTTGTACCTTCCACTATCAGTCCAAAAGTAAGTTCTACCTGTGACAAAATTGAACAATATTGTGTATGAATTTCAGACCAAGTGCAATACTAAGCAGACAGACCACACTCCAGTGACTGGTTGGTTAAATCAAACAGCAAGTTTCTTCATTTGTTCTTAACCAGCCTATGCTTCCAAAATCCAATACAATCAGTGAGTATTGCATAGTCAGGAACAGCGATCCTATCTAGAATGAGACAGCCCGAGTGGCTCAGCGGTTAGCACTGGTGTCT